ATATTGTGCTTGAGTGTATGTGAGTGTGTGTGGGGGGGGAGTGAATATATATGCATGCGAAATTCTGTGTGCTTGTGTGTGTGAGAGGATGTGTATTTGCATCTGTATGTTGTGAGTGTGAATGTGTTTGTTAGATCTCTTGGAGTTATGGTAAAAAAAATAGGAAGAAAATACTCAAGGGCACATTTCATTTATGTTACATTTACAGAGTGCTTAGTCTCAAGTTGCTGGCCTTCAGTGACATAAGGGATATAAGGGAGAAAAGTTCTTCACAGAAAACAAGAAGACCAGAACACCAATAAGGGGTAGCAAGTCAGATACATTCTCCAAGAACTTCTGCAACCCTTCTCACCACCATCCCTCCCATTCTCCATTTGCTCCTACTCCCTCCTGCTCCCTGCCAGTAACCCACTTCCTTTAACCAAGAGCTACCCTCTACAGTCCCACTACTTGCCGATAGAGTACTAAAATCGAAATTAATGTCTTAATGCCTTTAGACGTGTGCTTGAATCATCTCATAGTCATTCCTAAATCCAATTCAAGTTCACAAGGTTACTATCACGGTGTAACTTGAGAAATGTGTCAAGAAAAAGAATACACACATACACACAAAGACAAAAAATGCCTCTTTCTGTGTATAGGAGAAAAGTAGAAGGTGATTACAGAAGGAAGCAGAAGCCTTGGAGTGTATAAAATGATGGGACAAAGCATGTCCCCATTTGATTTGTTTAATAAAAATCAGGAAACAGAATTGTCAGAAAAACACTGTGAGCTATTAAAACTTTAGTAGCCATGTTATTATTAAATTGCAGTGGTCCAGGGTTGTGGTCATGGATTAATGATGTAATTTTTCCTTTGAAGGTCAGTCAGCCCTACACATGATTCACATCGTGAAACCTTCTTTCAAAGGGACCGCCCCAGTTTCAGGTTGAGGCCTCTCTCAGCTGTATGGGACCAGGAAAACCCTATTTGCCATTATCATTAATGTTTATAGAGACTGGTCTGTGTTTCTTCACAGAATATGGAGTGGGGGGTGGTTATTGTGACTCTCCTTACTTAAGACAATGACTTTCTGTATCAGATGACCTAAGAAGCTGAATACTGTGCCCGTGTTGTCAACAAACACAGACTAAGAACAAAGAGGGGTGAACAAAAAATGAAACCATCATCAGAGCAAATATTATAAAGCAAAAATGCTGTGTGGTCAAAAGCCAAATTCTCAACTAAATTGCATGAAAGTTTCTAATTTAGTTCAGTTTATTTTAGCAAAACTGTTCAATGTATCATTATAGATAGATGAACCTATTGTTTGCATTTGTATCTGGTAACATAAGGCATTCATGTAAAAACAACAACAACAAGGCTGCAGTATCCATTCCAGAGATTATAAGATCATGTTTGTTGGACTTGTGGGCATCAATCAAAATTTCTCTTCTCTCCTGCCCTGTCTTTCACATGCAGCCTAGGTTTATAAACAGGTACCATCTTGGAATTCCACTGCCATTCATCCTCCTCAGCTGTGTGTCAGCACGAGGATGCTGCTGAAGCATTTCCTCAGTACTGGCAGACTGGCTGGCATCCAGCCTGGACAAATTGCTGATCTTTCCTGCCACGCAATGTTAAATAGGGATTCTAGCCGGCATTGAAAAAATAGCTGCAAAGCCACATTTAGCATCTGAAGACTGGCTGATATTTCTTCCGTATACATGGTTTGGGTGCTGGGATTCCTTTAATGAATTTTAGTTTGGCCTAGAATCCAGCATGTGAGCCATCCTAAACTTAAATTTAAACCCTGTATATAACTTTGTAAATCATTAAAGACAAGAAAGTCCGAGATCCAGATGTCTGAACTATAAACCAAAGTTTATAGATCACTTTTCTTTCAAACCATGTGACAAAAATTATTAATAAACTACCATATATAAACCCAGATGCACAATCCATAGCAATCTCCTGTTTACCGTAATACCTCCTTCCACTCAGCCTACGCCACTCAGGATGACTGGTTCCTCTTATGTAGAGCACGGCAAATTCCTTTGTATGATAAGCAATTCCTTAGATATTCACATAATTAAGTTTATCTTATGGAACCCTTTCTTGCCGGTGTGGCACCTGAACAAGACAGGCTGTTCAGTGAAAGAAGTCACCTGGAATTTATTGGTCCAGTGTGAAGGATGACCAGAATCTCAGAGAGGTAGAGGGTTATCAGTCCACCAAAAAGTATGGATGTCTTGATGTGAGCCTATAGGAGGCTAAGCTACAATAAGATCAGGCTTGTCTTGTGAATCTAGCAACTCTTCTGTATGCATAGTGGCTATCTGAGAGAATGGGGTGTCAGTAATTGAAACTTTGCTGAAGGAGTAAGTGTTGATCTTGGAAGCAGTCATGTGTCTTCAAGAGAGATGCTAAGACATGGGGGTAAAGCTCATATGCACACACATCACAGATTTAGATATGTAAGTGTGTATGCATCATACTCTTGGATATGTACACTTAGATGCTTAGATTCATGGTGGTACTACGTGAATTAAAAGCAGAAAATACTGCAAAGTTATAGTTCTTAGGGTCTTCCTATGGCCTGGAAGGCATGTTGGAATTTGAAAGCTAATTCATAACTATCTATTAAGTTTTCCTCCATTGCACTCCCAGGATTATGAGAAGGTCACTCCTGAAGACTCCATGATACTTACCAGTGCCCTTGAAAAATTATTCTGCCATTAATGGCAGTGATACTACATTTACTGACTACTAACATAAAGAGCCTTTGCCTACCCATTTCAAGTAGACTGAGAAGGGTCCTTTTGGAGAGAGATCTTTGTATACCCCACCTTAAATGTGTCATTGATCTCTTCCTATAAGGACATTAATATTGTCATTTCATCTTTCTCTTTATAGAGAATAATACTCATCAATACAATTTTTTTTCATCTTTAATGTCCAACTGAGGGTCTTGCATGGAATAGTTCTGAAAACGTGCTAATCTTAGCTGAGAATTTCTGAATGGATTGAGAGGGTTTCTAGCTTTTAATAGAAAACAGTTCAGGCTTTTGGTAAGTTTTATCTTCATAAGAAGTTTAAGCAAAGCCAAAAATTAAGGAAAGAACTTCCTCTGTGATGCTAATGTCTACTGAAAGTGTCTTTGTTTATAGAGACCAGTGATGGCTAGAGTTAAACATATATGGGATTTAGATGGCAATAAAATTATCTGTTACAAAAGAGATAAGACAGTGTACATAGAATAAGGGGGTGGTCAAAGCACTTGAAGTGATACATCTAAGCGCAGAGTGGTGACACTGTGGGCAGCATAGTTCTAAAAATCAACCAGCCGGGCAGTGGTGGTGAACGCCTTTAATCACAGCACTCGGGAGGCAGACGCAGGCGGATCTCTGTGAGTTCGAGGCCGGGATGGACCGATAGCCTCCTAAACAATACAGAGAAACCCTGTCTCGTAAAAACCAAAAAAAAAAAAAAATCAACCCTGAAAGCATCTTTCAGTAGACTGCTTTATACTTGTGAAAATTATCTTGACACAGTTGTCACTATTCAAATAATTTACTACAGTTTAATCACTAAAAATGAACTTACCAAATTTTTTTTAAATCTAAGTACTTCCCAGTGTATTAGGAATATGACAATGTAGGAATCAGGAAATGATCATGTATATATTATCTATAGCAGAGCAAGGCTTACAGGGGGCAATTCTTTATTAGGCACCATGTTAGTCTTTGAGACAACTCACTATTCCATATTGTCCTTTCTTCTTACCAATGAATGGTTTTGCCTTTTATATTTTCTCTATAAACATAAATATCATTTATATATACATTCACTCATGCATTTGTTCACACGATCCAATTAGTGGGTTCCCACAGAGTATGAAAGGGACAATACTTCAATGGGCTTATAGCATGGTTGTAGATATAAGTAAGCCAGCTATTACAAACATTATCTGATAGGTGTTAATAGAGTGATAAGAAAACAGTGGAAATGGAAACTAGGGGTGGGATGCTTAAAAGACAATTCAACAAAAGCTATACAGGTAGAATTTTAAAATGGGTTGTAATTTTGTTTAGTAGATATAGAAATTCTTGAGATGAAGAACAGTAAATGAAATATTATACTCAGGGATATGGATCCCACTGATTTTCTGAGGAAATATGGCCCTGGGCTGTTAGACATGAAGCACGAGGAAAGCATTATATTCACTCCTTTAATGGGAGCATAGATCCAGAACTGGAATAAGATTTACAAGACAGTTGGGTCGGGGGGGGGGGTTCTAATAGACCACCAAGAAACTGAAACATCTTGTTGAATTTGCTGGGAATCAACATGTTATAATCTGCATTTGTATGTATTTTGCCTGGATTTTATTGATCACCTCTATTGTGTTACAGTAAATTGTTGCATGCCCTTTAGGGAATTTGCAACTATGTTAGGATGCACACCAACAGTGTAAGTGGGGAAAAGGAAAGCAGTTACACCACTCAGATTGCAAAGAGAATTGTGCTACATTGTCTGTGGCTAACTGGCCAACAAGCACAAAATGTTGCCATTGTAATATTCTCACATAATGCATCAGGCTCAATCTCTTCTTCCAGTGAACTCTTTCCTTTTTCCTGGCACTGAAAGGTATATAGGGAGGGTGTAAATGAAGAGCTTCTCTTTATTATTAAGGAGGGGCTTGCATTGTCTTTGTTCTATCATTGAAGTCAATGTTTTAAGCAAGTGGCTTCCTAACACCGAAAGGGAAGTGAATGGTGCTATATCACCATTAAACTATCTGTTCATATATATCCTCACAATCTATCATTTGATATACAAAGCCTGTAAAGACTTTGATCTTGTATGCACTTCCCATAAGTCTTGCATGTATTATTAATAAAGTTCTGTGACTGGAAGCTTCCATCACTGCAGTGACTCTTCCTTAGAAAGCTAGGGTTCATTCATACTAAAATGCCTAGGAGTTTGTCACAGTGTTAACATATGCATTCTTCTTGCAGATGGTTGAAAAAGAAGGGTATCTTCAAAAAGCCAAAATTGCAGATGGAGGAAAGAAACTAAGGTAATGAAAGTTCTTCAACTCTCGTTACATAACTGCACAGTTTCCTATATCCTCAGCTTGTATCACTGATACTGTTTGAGAATCAAGGCCACCCAAACCTAACTAGAACAGTCCCCTTCTGTTACCATTGTTGAAACCTTTATTGTTGAAAAAATTATACTTTTCAAAGAAAGACATTTCATTCTACAGTGTTGCCCAGAAAGTAAAAATGGCTGATGTCTTGTCTTCTTAGGACTAGAGATCTTTAAAACATAAAAAGGGAAACATGGTTTCTGGATTAACAGATTGGGTTGTTGAATGAATTCATTTGCAGCATATAAAGATCTCTATGCAGTACCCGGAGAAGTTTCATGCAAGATACAAGATTTGAACCATATTTGTAGATCAAACTAAAAAATCACTTAGAAAAAAAAAGGAAAAGGAAAAGAAAACCATGACAAAAAGTAGGTGAGGGAAATTTCAAAATTATCAAGAACTCCCTGATGTGAGATGCAAATGTTCAAGAAAAAAAAAGTCAGTTGCTGGGTCAAGAAAGATACTTGCTATGTTATTTATATGGGGGATTTAAAATAGTTATGTCTGTTTTAGAATTTTGGCCATTTCTTACATTGTATATTCTATAATTAGCTTTATAGTATGAACTATGCAAGTAATTAAGGTACATGGAAGTATCCAAAATAAGAGACATTTACTTGTGAGTGTATTACTCTTACAAGTAATTTATTCTAAATATTCTAATCAGCTTTACAATGAGATAATAGTAAATTGCATTACCCAGTATGTTACTAGAAAGATGTTCTGGCTAACACTAGCAAATAAAAGATGCTTTGGTTTAATGGCTGTAGTGGACAGTGTTTATATTTATTTAAAAGAAGCAAAATGGAAGTGTCACAATTCCAGTGCCTACAATAGCTATTCTAATTTTAAATAGGAGATGGTCCTGAATCTTCCCAAAGATATTTCTTGGCAGTACCCTAGCAGCAACCTTCCCTAAAAAGTACGAGAGAGGCACAAGATCAAATGCAAAGCAGCTTCAGGCCTTGCCTTCTCTGTTCCTGGAGAACTGCCAGTCAGTCATTAAAAGAGCATTGCTCTGTCAGCCTGGACTCTTAGGGGAGGACCTAGGCCCTGCCCTGGATGAAATGACAGACTCTGGACACCCCCCATGGAGGGCCTCACCCTCCTTGGGGGAAGGAGTGGGAATTGGGGGTTATTTGGGGGGAGTTGGTGGGAGGGCATGGGAGGAGGGGAAGGAGAGGGAGAGGGACCTGGGATTGACAAGTGAAGGAACCTTGTTTCTCATTTAAAAATAAAAATAAAAAGACATTAAAAAAAGAGCAACAGGTGAGAACCACTGACTGACTAGCACAGCCCACATACCCTTATTTCCAGGAACCTCATCTCACGGTCAAAACTCGGGCATGTGGAGGGTGCAGCCATGCAAGTAGACCAAGACCCTTTAGTACCTGACCAACCACATGAACCCCCAGCCCTACCCCAACACAAGAAACTCCTTCTCAGGCAATTCATTCTTCCCTGGTCTCTGGACAGCCAGAAATGATGATAGCACTGGTCGGTGTTACTGTCTAGCATCACACAAAACAGGGTGGCAGAGAAAACAAGGTGATATAGCCTTCTGCGAGCACCCTCATCTGTGCTCCATTAGCCACCTTGTAACATACTCCTAGAAGGAGGAGTCTGAAGCATCAGGGACAAGGGGCAGCCCCTGTCCCTGCAAACTGTCCCAAACACAGTGCACATTGTTCAGTGTATATACCACTGTGCATTTGCTTCATTTGCATAAAAATTAATGAACTTGTACACAATGTCTGGACAGAAGTTTAAATTCACATAAGCATTGTCATATACTCCATTTTTCTTGTTTTTTCAAACAGTTCACATGCCATTAAGCATTCTTTCAGATTTTTTTATCTAAAGTTCTATACAGTTCAGTTTTTATTGTTTTAGAACCCCCAGGCACAGTGAATTGAATTGATTATACCCTTCAGTTGCAACCCTATGATACTGGATTTGGGGCAAGACCTCTAGGCAGTCTTTTTTGTAGTCTCTCTTACTCTCAAATCAACCACCTGTGCACATACACTCTAACTGTTATTCAAATCCCCTATCCATTATTCTATTTGTTTTTGTGTGTGGTATTCAAAACAAATCAACAAAATAGTTGTTTATAATACTATGTACATTGATGTGTTCTATGTCACATAAACAGTTTTGTATTAAAAAAATCTCATGTTCCTTGCTATGTCCATTCAATATTAGTGCAAAGATACACGTTGTGATGTTTGCAATCTTAAGACCACTTCCTTCCCATTGTTGCCCATGTGCCATTATGTATTTGTTCCAAATCTTATTTTCACAAATTCTCCAGGGACAAACATCTAAATTATCTCTAACTCTTCCCAAATCTAAAACATTGCAATAAATGTCACATAATTGTTTCTTTAGACTCTGTTAAAAGTTCTCTCAGGGAATGGTACTCAGATGTAGTGGAAGTTTCTGTCCCGCCTAGTCCCACAGCCGCTTTACCCCAAACAAGCACATCAAGACTTACATTAATTATAAAGTTTTTGACCAATGGCTCAGGCTTCTTATTGGCTAGTTCTATCTTAATTATTAACCCATTTCTATTCATCTATATATTGCCACAAGACTGTGGCTTACCCGTAATCTGGCAGGTTACTTCCTCAGCAGCATGGCATCTCTTCACGGCATCCCTCTGCCTTCTTTTCCCTAGCCGTCTTGTGGTCTGGAACCTGGCCCATCAGTGTTTTATTTATCAACCAATAAGAGAAACATATATAGATAAGGACACCCCCCACCACTCAGGAATTAAGATTGCTTGGTTATAAGCTATGTGCCGCCTCTCAAGCTCTCTTGAATGACTGCAGAAACTCAACATAAGTTTATCCTGCATTGCATAAGAAATCCTTTTTCTCCATAATCCAATCCAATCCAGCAGTCTACTTGTAATGCTGCCAGGAATGTGGCCACGGAGTCTTCCTTTGGATTCTGCTTTCATTCCCATTGACTGCCTGGTATTGCAGTCAAGTGTAATTTAATTGTTCATCTATAGTCACTTACATTCTGTATCTCAAGAATTGCTTTTCCATGAACTTTAAATACTGCCTATTCAGTGTATTGTCTCTTTTTCACTTGAGAAAATGCATAATATAGCAAGGTAACAATGCTTTGTTAGTTCTACACATTGTAAGTATCTCCCCCGACTTCGTGGAGTTTAATTTTGCATTTAATATAGATGCTTTAAAATTGAATATTTTAAATGTAATAGTCACAGTTTTCATATACTTGGTATCCTGCACTATGCCAAAAAATTTCTACTGTCATTTTTATTTAATATTTGAGTCGGGTTTTATACTAAAACCTGTTATAACTGCAGTACACTTCCTCATTATTGTCATTTTTTCTTTATATTTTCTAAAGATCAAGTCTAAGCCTGGATTATCTGATCAAATTTCATGGGAAGGTGATGTAATGGGTAACAATGTTTTCCACACAGGAACATGGGTTCCAATACACGAATCCCAAAAGAAAATGGCTGGAATGGTTAGAGACAAATGTATATGAGGATTTCACTGCCAATCAATCAAACCAAACCAAAACTGTGACAGAGGACAGACATCTAATGTCCTCTTTTATCTTCCAAATAGGTATACACAGGAGCAGGTATCTACACACACACACACACACACACACACACACACACACACACACACACGTACATGCTTTCACCACACAAGATTACAAACACAGATGTGAGCCTTCTTCTACATGCATGCACACATTAAAAAAAGAGCTATATGTTGCTATTACTTACCCAAAGACTGTATGTCTGTCAGCAGTAACAAAAGGGTAAGTTTGGTCATAACCTTGAAAAATTATGGAGGTTTTATCATATGGATCATTTAATAATTATAAAATGATGTCATCTACTTTCCATATTTTGTATTGTTTATGCGAGATTTTCTTTGGGCTGTTTCCCATTCATCAAGTGTCTTATCACTTTAGTAACGTTTAATGAGCTAAATAAGCACTATTAACAAATGCTTATTCTGTCAAGTACATGGTTCATTGCCATAGTAGTTAAATGACTTAAGTATTTAAGCCATATTAGGTCATAAGGTTCATAGTGATTTCTTATTTTTCAAAAGTAAAATCTTTGTTTTCTTAACTGCTCCTTTTGTCAGAGTCTTAAAGATGTTGTTGTACCAGCATCTAACCCTGGCCGGCTTGAAACATACTTGTTTGCCTGTTCTTGATTTAAGCTGTGTGAGGCCAAGAAGCAAGACCTGCTCTTTTGTTTCCTGCCACTGTTGGTAGTTAGAGCTTCAACTGTCATTTAATAAAGTTTGTTTCTGAAACTTCTGTAAAGTTTTCTATGTGTAAATCTATACTATGACATCTACATTGTACATTGTTCCTTAATTCCATCTTGCCTTTCTTTGTTATCATTTTTATTTTTCTTTATTTCTCTCTATCCTATGCTTTCTTTTCCATAAGGAAAAAATTACTCATATGACTAGGAGAAGGTGGTATGAGACAGAAGTTGGCTTCATCTTACAGTCACAAAAGGCCCCCAACTTAGCCTTATTTTGAAATGAGGTTATACATTTCCCTTGTGATGTCCTGACAGGCCTGAAAGCAGAATTCACTCAGCATTCAACTTTAATTTTTAATTATGAACCTTGAAATTATGCCTCAGCTTTTCTGATGAATCTCGCCAACCTTTTCATTTGGGAAATCTCATCTTCAAAGCAATAAGTAGCCCTGGCTTGTCTGACGCTCCATGATGACTTAGTAATAGCTTTTTGTAGTATTTTTGTTTGTTTGTTTGTTTGTTTTGTTTTCTTGTTGCTAGGGCTTAATTTTACAAAAGGCACTTGAGAATGTGCTTATATGAGTTCAATACCTCACATGTGTCTGCAAGCACATCTTTCCTCTGTGGTTCTGTACATCTCATC